CCTCAAGATGCATGGACATGAGAAAAAAATGGATTTCCAGTTTTGGAAATAGTACATCTTGTTTGGACTGTCAATTTTCAAGATTTTGAAGTTTTCATAGATATGCTCAATCTAGACTATCTTTGAAGCTTTAGATTTTTATAATTATAGATGAAAATATATTTTAAGTCTATCACAAAGATTTCCAGTATTGAAACCACATTTCTCGATACTATTTGAAGGTACACTTTAATTTGATTGCTTATAGCCTCGGCTCTATACAAACCGCACCTTTATTATAATCTAGTGTTTTAAAACCTAATTGGTGCGATTGATTGTTCATTCACATAACCATTTTCGGATTGTTAGATCAAGGATTCAAATTAGATTTGGGTTGGTTCAAATCACTGATCCAAAAAAAAAGATTAAAATAAAAATTAAATTAGGATTTATGGGGTTGGGGTTCAAGAAGACTTAAGAAAAGATTAGATAAACTTAATGTGTTCATATGTAAGTGTATAAAGGGGGCCTTTGGGGGGACCGGGCCCGGATCGATACCATTCTAGAAACGGTTCGCTCCCTAATGGATTTCCATCTGGATTAGTGATTAGGATCAAAAAATCGCTAGGCTTTAAACACTGTTATAATCAAATGATAAATACTAGTGTTTTATTAAAAATTTAAAACAATTGTCCCTCGAAATGATCCACAATTCAATGTCGGTGGGCATTGGAGAAGATTATTATTATACAACTCTATCCAGATGCTCAATCCAAGATTCTAAATCCTTGAATTACTAAATCTACAATTTGAATCAAAGCCAAAATTTATACCTCCACAATGCCAAATGAGCCTTAATGGGTTAAAATGGCTTTTTATCATGCGTTTTCTAGAGGGTGATAAAATCATATGGTTTGAATTTTTTGTGTTAAAATAGGGACAATAAACTTTATAGAACCAAGATAAAAGTTGCCTCGTAATTGCTTTCCAACTATTAGTTTTGATCACTCCAACACCATCGTGCCAAAAAATCTGTATGTATAAATAAACGACTTAAAATAATGGAAACCGTCTGTTTTGTACTTTAAAATCTTCAAATATGAAACACATATCGCTCGGATCTTTTTCATGTCACTGGCGAATGCGGCTTTAGTAGTTGTAGTTATTTGCGCACATTGAGAGTGCTCCCGCCAGAGCATATTGTATATTTACTCCCTCGAGTAAAAGAGCTGCTTAGAAGTAATTCCCCCTCAATCTAGAATTTCGAGATCTACTTTACATTCATCAGATGAATAATTTCAATGAACTGGATTCTGGATATCTAAACATTTAGATCTATAGTAAAAAAATTCGAGGGTTTGCTTATTAATTTTTAGGTAAATATAAAATATGTGTACATTTTTTCTTTAGTGGGTGGTTAGGCTGCCTGCCAACTTTGACTCCCTCGAGTAAAAGGGCTGCTTAGAAGAAATTCCTCCTCAATCTAGAATTTCGAGACCTACTTTTCATTCATCAGATGAATAATTTAAATGAATTGGATTCTGGATAACTAAACGTTTAGATCTGTAGTCAAAAAATTGGACGGTCTACTTATTAATTTTGGAAAATTGTTTCACATGGCGTGGACCGCATTTCTACATTTGCGATCCCTGAGGTATAAAGCATACATCTTAAAAGATGTATGCAAATTGACGGTCGGTCTAAAAATAATTGAAACTAACTGTCTAAATGTTTTTTTAATAGAATTATCATCTTTAATTTTTAAAATTTATTTATTTTTTCATATTCATGATCTCCATGTTAGAGATTATATTTCCTTAAAAATTAGGTCAAAAAATCCATCTCAGAAATAGATTTTGAAGTGGTGACTCATTTCTACATGGACCCATAGAAATCGTGTTCATTAATTTTTCAGGTAAATATAAAATATATATACATTTTTTCTTTAGTGGGTAGTTGGGTAGAGGAGGCTACATCCCCAAAATCTTAAAAATACTCTGAACTGGTGTCTTATCTGAGGGAGAATATACCTCAAGGAGCATATAGCCTGCTCCACTTTAGACATACTCCGCAGCCCTTTGGCCCTAACCACTATGGACCAAAACCCACTAATGACAAATATCATCAACTAGGAAAAGCATTAGTCGAAAGTGACAAGTCAAAAAATGTTGCATGTTTTTTCTTGGTCACCATAGTCAAGGTTATCTTCAGCTCACCTAACCCTAATTCTATTGAGGCAGGTCGAGAACGTGGTGGTGAGACCACTAAGATAAATTTAATAATTTTTAATTACATTCAAAAAAATTAATCATATTTAATTAAGTTGTTAATACTTTCAAAGACTAAAGCGGGGATATCTTTGGATTATGACCCCCTAAGAGACGTTTCAAACCAGATTTACATGAGAAAAGAAAGTCTTACTCATGGTCACTCTCTATGAATTCCAGTTGTCTTGAATGAAAGTGGCCGTCGGCTAAATGTCTTATTATACATATCATTTAAATAATGGTGCTTATTTTAAATTACATATGGGACAATAATAAAATTCTTTTTGTTTTCATGATCTTCTCTAATCATTTGTCCGTATTTAAAATATGCCCTTTCCCAACAAATCTTAGGGATAAAGAACTTAATTTAATAAATGGAATTGCAAAATAGAGTCACATGGAGCATTTTGTATTATGCTCCCTACTGGGCTACAGTTGTCCACCAATGTAGGGCGGTGGAGATGACATAAAGGGCGTGTGTATGGTATGTTCCCGCAGGAGCGTACTGTACAACAATTCTTTCGATCATAATAGATACTTGGGAGGAGTTTTTTTTTTTGTTTTCAAAAATTTGGGATCTCTCCAAGTATCACTAGATTATTATTTATAAGAAAAAAAAAATGGATTTAGAGTTCTTGATCACCTAAATCTCTCTCTAAAAATTGGACAATTGTTGTTCAATCTTGTGACATCTCTTTATTTGGACGCACTGTTTTTTTTTTTTTCCCTTGGAGATTGGTCCTTGTGCTCTAAAGATCATATTGGAAGAACTTGGGATGCAAAAAATATTCCAAGCATGAGTTTTGCATGAGGGAGCAAACGAAGAGTATGCTCCCATGGGAGTATGAAATCTTTTCAATTACATAAAAATTCAATAAAGATTCAAAATGTTGGACTGTGAAAATTTGACCAGGTATGGCACATGTTTATCACCTATGCTCGAGTGTGCATGGTACACTGAAAAGAAAACTAGTTAATTACGGGTGTTTTTTTTATTTGGGATTGTATAGAATGAGACTATTTACCTTTGATATGAGGCAGTTACAATTTTTCACAAATATTAGATGTGAAATTTTATAGTTTGGATGTGCCACGAAGTTCGAAAAAATTTCTTTTGAAGTTGGAGCTTGGTCAATGTAATAATTACAACCACTCAACTTCACATCCAATAATTAATATTATTGTGACCATCTTGTATCAAAAGTAAATGACCTCATTCTATACTTTCGCCCTTTTTTTTAATAGGATTCTATATTACAAGGCCATGTATTAAAAATGAGGTCATAATTATTTTTAGCCTTTAGATATGAAATTGAATAGATTGAATTGTCTTACAACAGTCGAGAAATTTTATTTTAGACTTTGTGCCCAATTAATGAAACACTTTCAACCACCCGATTTCACATCCAATGGTCTCATTTTATCAAAAAGTTATTGTAAATATTGTTTTAGGTGCGTCCCATCGAAAAGATGACATGCACTAAATTTCATATTCATACAATTTATAAAAAAATACTCTAAGGTATCGAATCTAAATTAAATGATCAGTAGTTCACTTGATCTAAATTGAATGATTGGATGGAGGGAGAAGTATATATCTTTTATGATGTAGGAAGATGTAGGAAAGTATAAAAAGCTTTCCCAAAAAAAAAAAAGACTAATTTCCCTTCGAAGGACGAAAACCTAGATCATGTCGTGGTTGGCCGAAATTGACTAAAAGTTAAACTCGTAGAATCAAAATACATGTCAAAATAATGTTGGGAACTACCCCAAATTGAGCAAGAGTTAAAATAATAGGATAAAAATGTGAGCATCATCGAGCTGGACTTATTTGACTCCTCTCTCAACCATGAGGGGCATCTCTCTCTCTGTCTCACACACACAAAAAAATACTTGCTTTCGAGCATGTCTACATCTCTCACAAACAAACAGAGAATTTGTGTCACGCTCGCACGACTTTACTGCCTAGTGCAAACTTTTGGCATCTAAGTTGTGCACATTTTTTTCTTATTTTTGTCTCGAGCCGTGCTCTGTTACCACCTAATTTCTAATTTTGTCGGTAATATTCGAGTCGAGTCGCATATATGCCTTTTATTTAGCATGCGATTCTCGAAATGAAAAACACATCAAGAATTGCATGCCCGCAAATTCCATGGGCTCCGGGGTGTGTCCTCGTTTCCTTGATTCTCTCATCCGTGCCTAATAAGGGTATTGTGGTCATTTTCCTCCAGCCGGCCTTCCTCGTCATCTACCATTTCCTCAGATCAGGAAAACCAAAATTTCTATTGTCTGAAACAACGTCCCATGATTTTCAATCCCATCCCATAAAAGGACATTTTCGTCTTTCTCCAAGAATTAGGGATACACTTGTCATAAAAGAAATTGTTAGGGATAAATTAAGTCAATGCACAAATCCATATAATTTTTAAGATATTTAAATTGAAAATACGATTTCTTCCTCCACGCTCCTCTCAATGGGGAGAACAACTGGGCGAGCTTTCCGTCGCCGTATTTCCACGTCAGCAAATTCCGTCCAGGGGGTCCCACGCCAAAGATTCACGATCAATTGAAGCCTCTAAAATTAGTGAATTTTTTTAATTTCGAGGCGCACGACTCTGAGCCTGTGTCTTATCCCCTAAGACGTGGACGACAGTTGGAGAGCAATCGTGTCGTAGGGTCGGATTAGACAGCTAGGTTCGGACAATAGGTTCGGGAGGTTCTAGGGTTTCTCGAAAGCTATAAATAGCGGGCTATGGGGTCGTCTCACCCCAAGCGAGCCAGATGCGCAACGATTGATAGGGGCGGCGCCGCGTGGACTCCCCGTTCCTCCACATATATATCTTCCTCTCTCTAGTTTCCTCTCTCTGGACTTTTCTCTCTCTCTCTCTTTTTGTTTCTCAACCTTTTACTCTTTTTCGGTTCTGGCCCTTGATTTCGCTATAAATCTGGGAGTCCTGGTCCCGTTTCACCATCGCTGAGTTTAGAAAATCCTCTGGTTCTCGTCCCTTGTCTGAGTTTAAAGGAGTTTCGATAAGTTTGCAGCACTCTCTCTTCTGTTTGCCTGCATTGGAAGAGTTCTACTGAGAAAACCTGAGTTCTCAAGAATCAAGAATCAAGAATCGATTGGTGAGTTCTTCCTCTATTCCTTTATTTTCTTTGAATCATTGTTCTTCCTCTACTCTTTTCATTTTATAGGGTTCAGTTTTGGTTTCAAATCTGTTGCTTATAGCTGTCTTTTGATATTAAGTGTTTTCTTTATGCAAAGTCTGTTGTAAGGTTAGGATTTAGGGTTTATTTCGGCTTTGGAATGTACTTTTTTGTCTATGAATCCGCTTTTCAATGTATATTACGAGGATCCAGGGTTTTTTATGGCTGTAAAAAACCTTGCGTGATTTTTAGTTATTTCTTCTCTCTCAGATTTTTCAGGTTCTTTTATTCACAAATCTGTTGAATATGTGTTTCATAAAATAACTAGTTTGGAAATTTCTTTCAAATAGTCTTTTATTGATCGTTTATATTTAAACATTGATATTGATGTTATATCAGCTGTGCTTCTTGCTAGAAAAACCTATGATTTTTATCGATCTAGAGTCTTGTTATTTGTGTGGCTTGTGGCTCAGCAGATTTGATGTTCTTTTTCGGTTTCTTTGTATGTCCATTAATGATCATTTTTATTTTTCTAAATAATGGATTTCTTATTCAGATTTCTTGTGATCTATCTCCGTGAAGTTTACTGTTATTTATGCTTCTTAAGAAACATTATCAGTGACGAATCCGAGGTTTTTTTTAGAAGAAACTCGAATTTGCCGCAACAAGTGGCTCTGGAGATATCGTCAACTGTGTATAGTTTTTATTTGATAAGAAGATTTTCTCGGTCATATTTATTGCATCCGTTAACATTAGTCATCATCATCATAAAGATGATCCACAACTGTTTTTGATCTGTCCAAAACAATCCTTCCGAAATTGCTTTTTTCCATTTTTCATCCCTGAAAAGTTTCCCAAAAAGCACGTGCAAACTGTTCAAAACTTTTTTCCCTGGGATTTTCTAGTAATAATGGTTTTGGTGCTTGTCGGTTCCATCTTATTCAAAAGGATGAAGTTTCTATAAGGCCTAGGCTTTATCAAAACAAATAATGCCTCACCTCAAATCCTCAATACTTTAGGCACCAGAAGTCTGATGACTCTAAAATCAATTTCCATTGATGATAAAATTTGAAATTTAAAAAATAATACAGATTTTGCATATTGAACATTTTTTTTTAAAGGAAAAATGAATGGTCTAGATTATTTGTTATAGTATACACTATTTTTAGAGTTTGAAATCCTAATTATTTTCACAACCCTAGTGTTAATGCCTAATGATGTAATGGTTTTTCAAAACTTGAATTGCAATTTTTTATTTATTTATGAGGTGAGGCTTTACTTATTATTTTGATAGGGCTGCAGCCCTATCAAACCATTTTTCTTTTCAAAATAATTTATCATAAATAAAACTAGTGAATTTGTTATTATTAAGTCATATTCCGTACCTTTCTTTTTGGAATAGGGGAATACTTTTCTTAGTTTTTAGTAAAGCATATTTAAAGCTAAAGCAAATCTTTCCGCCACCACAAAAAAAGGAATACTTGATTTTCTTAAGAAATTTATCAAAATGCAGTACACGAACTATTTAACATTTAATCCATTTTTATTTAATTTTAAGTGGTCATCAAAATATAGATGATAATGACTTGGAATATAGTTGCAGGAGGGTAAAATGTTAAATAGTTGACAAGGTAGTTATATTCTGATAACTTTTCTGTTTTTTAATATATTATTATGCCTTGTAGGACTCTAGTGGTGAAATTACAATTTCCTACTCTGAATGTTTAGTTATTCCCTTAATCTTTAACTGTGAACTTACAATTCTCTACTATTGAATGGTTGATTATTTTTACTTTTGTTTATTTGTAGTGAGGGGTTTATTTTTCTGGAGGTTCGATTGGGCGCTTAGTTGGGTGTACAGTGATGTTTGGGATTTGACACTGTTGGGTTGTGTTTGTGTATTGTTTTTGCAGAGGAGTCTGAATGTTGTAATGGAGTCTAAAGGTGGCCTGAAGAAGAAGTCTAGTAGTAATTCTCGTTTCTACGAAGCTCCCCTCGGTTACAGTATTGAAGATGTTCGCCCTCACGGTGGAATAGAGAAGTTCCGCACTGCTGCCTACTCCAACGTAATACCTCTCTCTCTCTCTCTCTCTCTCTCTCCATTCAAACGCTTCTTCACTCCCTCATTTTCTCTATTCTCTCTTCTCTATTCAACGGGCTTTGTTTCTCTGCCATTCATCTCTCTCACTCACACGGTCTCTATTTCATGTTTGTCTCTATTTCAGTTTTCTTGACATGTCAGTCTCCTGCCATTTATTTATCTGTCTCTCTCTGCTATCTTCGACCTCGTATCTTTCTGTCCATTTACATCTCTCGCTCACACACAGATATACACATTTTCTTGAGACTGTTAAGTTGCTGATGCTTTTGATTTGCTTTAAAATGCAGTGCGTGAGGAAGCCATCCTGATACACCCTAACGTGACCAGCACCCATGGTAGAGTAGGAACCAGTAACAATAGCCATAGCTTATAGATTTTGCTTTCCAGTAATAAGAGACTCCCATACTGTGTTTTACTTCTTTGTTGCTATAACACCAAAGGCCTGCAACTCGTCCTGCCTTAAGCCACTGCTAGAATGGCTCTCAACACTTCCCCCATTGGCTTTGAGGGGTTTGAGAAGCGACTTGAGATCATATTCTCGGAGCCCCCTGTCTTTGCCGACCCCAAAGGTCTTGGCCTTCGCGCCCTATCTCGTGCACAAATCGACGAGATTCTCGACTCTGCACGGTGCACAATTGTCGACTCTCTTTCTAATGAATTCCTCGATTCCTATGTCCTCTCAGAATCAAGCTTCTTTGTTTACCCCGACAAAGTCATACTCAAAACTTGCGGGACAACCAAGCTTCTTCTATCGATCCCTTTGATTGTAAAGCATGCGGGCTCATTGTCCTTGACGCCAATTTTTGTCAAATATTCACGAGGCTCCTTTATTTTTCCTGGCGTTCAGCCTGCCCCTCACCGAAGCTTTTCAGAGGAGATTTCGATGCTTGATGGCCATTTCAGTCCTTTGTTGAAGAGCGAAGCTTATGTAATTGGTGATCCTTCGAAGCCTGCACGCAATTGGCATGTTTATGTTGCATCAGCGCCACACATCCCACCTCAAGTTTGTACACTGGAGATGTGTATGACCGGGCTTGACCATAAACAAGCCTCTGTCTTTTATAAATCTGATATCAACTCGGCCTCATCCATGACTCGTGACTCAGGAATTAAGGACATACTCCCGAGCTTCAAGATCAATGACTTTATGTTCGATCCTTGTGGTTACTCTATGAATGCAATTGATGAAAAGGTGGTGTCGACCATACATGTCACCCCTGAAGATGGATTCAGCTACGCTAGCTTTGAAGCAGTGGGGCTCGACCCGAACCGGGTGCGGCTCAATGAGTTGGTGAGCCGAGTCTTTGCTTGCTTTGGACCTACCGAGTTCACCATCGCTGTGCATTGTGGTGGCTCCAGCATGGGCTCATGGGCCGAGCTCACCGGCTCAGTGGATGGGTACCGGTGTGAGCGTGCAATCGAGCAGGACCTGCCCGGAGGTGGGTTCATTGTGTATCAGAGCTTTATGAAGGTGCGTTCGAGCTCCAGCATTTTCTCTCCTAAGTTGGTGCTCGGTTCCTGGATCAACGAAGAAAAGACTGAGAAGGAGGCTGATGAGTATGGATTTGAGAGTGAGGATGGAGAGGAGGGCAAAGTCATGGGGTGCAAGGAGGAAGAAGGTGGGCATCAGCATGGCTTCGAGGAGGAGCAGCGGAAGGTTCTTTTGGTGGTCTAGAGGAATTGATTCAAGTAGTTTGCATGCTTTCAGTTTATGGAATAAGTTACAGTGCTTTGGAAGTAGTTGTGCTTGTGGTTTGAGTCAGCGTTTTTAGATCAGGGAATAAATTACAGTGCTTTTTGGGCATGGGTAAGAGGTGGGTGGGGACTTGGTGGTGTTTTGAGTGTGGGGGTCTATGCTTTCATATTTTATGACTTTTTCGAGTGTTTGAATTTGAATAAAGGCTATACTTGGTGAATATGTGTATTTTTGGTTGCGTTGGAATAATTTTGGTTTAGTGATATCTTATTGTTATATTCAATACTATGGCAATCTGAATTTATTGTGCTGTACCGTTGGCCAGTGGGGTGGCCCTCGACCGGCTCAATATTTCCTCTTAGAGTTTTTTCACCCTACTCAGTCTCTGAACGTCTACACTGTCTAAATGCCCTACTCAAAAAATAACCTAATCGTCAATTCTGATAAATGTACACTAACCTAAGCCTCTTACGTAATTGTGATAAATCGACATTTATTTAAGGGTGTGGTTTGGTATAGACCCGCGGCTCTTAAATAATTAAAGTAAAGTGTACTTTCAAATGGTGTTGAGAAATATTGTTTTAATATTAAAAATCTTTGTGATAGTCTTAATGTATTTTTAATTTTTTAAAAAAAGTGTAGATCGACCAATGTTATTTTTTAAATTTGAAATCTATTTGTCTATGTTTTAAATTTGAAATCTATTTGTCCATGCATGCATCTTGATCGAGATGATCAATTTGAAGATATTTGAGTATTGCAATGATTTTTTTTAATAAAATTTTTGATTTTTGAAGTGGGCTTCTAATTGAGGTGGGCTCTAATTTGATTGTTTAGAACTACAGCTCTATATAAGTTTTTTTTTTTCCTTTATTGTAATATCGTTACAGCCTTCTTTTTAATAACCTTTCCCTTGGTTCACATTTTATAATCTGCAAGGTGTTAACATGTTTCCATGTCATTTATGAATAAAAAATGTTGTAGGGTTGTGAGTTATTGTTGGGCTTGTTATTGAAATGAGATGTTGGAGATGAGTGGGGCCTATGGCTTGTTGTCCCTTAGGGGATTGCCTAGCTGCATTGATACTTTAGTGAGAATTGACAGAGGGCTTGATTGCGTGCATGTAATGCCAAAGAGGACCGCACGCCTCTGCTTTGTCTCTATTCGAGGGCAAACTTTAGGAAAGAATTTGTCTTGTGCTTTCATTTTTATACAAGAAATGGTGAACTCCATAACTAAAAAAATAGGAGAAAACCACTTCTTACCACAATTTTCCCAAAGGGGGAAAACATACGAATATATTCTTTCATGTTTTCATGCTTTTCCCCCATTTCTTAATAAAATGGGAAAAAAGCTCAGGCTTGAGCTTTTTCCGCCATTTGGAATTTTTTCTCAAGACTTCCGGTTTATCAGAGAAATTGCTTTCTTAGATACCAAATAGGGCCCTCCAAACTCCCTATTTACATTAACCAGTGCTTTATAAGCCAGAATTGGATTCTGGGTTTTGAATCAGGCCTTCCGTGAATTAATCCGGATAGGTTGAATCAGGCAATTTAGAATGGCCGAATCCAGATTAGTGATGATTATAATAATACAAATTGAAATGGATGGAAATCATGTGATTATTCTACGAGGCAAGAATGTAGATCCGCCCACCTACTAAACCCCATCTAGATCAGGCAATACTAATTTAGATCTTCATTAATCATCTAGCAACAACACGACACAAACATTAGAAGGCACCACACGAGCATTCAGATGGCATCTTCCTTTGAATCTCTCCCTCATCATCATCTCATAATGAGTTACTATCTCTCAAGAAGTGGTCAGGGTAATGAGTCAACAACATGACACGTGGAGTTCCATTATCAAAGATCTTAAGTTAACATTCATAAAAAGAAGAAGAAAAAAAAAAGAAAAAGAAAAAAGAGTCGCACTCCCTTTCCATTGTCTGTCTTGCATGGAATTCCCATGCTCGTATACTTCTACCCTCTATTCCCCCCCTTGTATTCCCGTTTACCACGTTTCCATGAAAGCAAGCTCCATTCCTAAAGTGAAAGAACCTGGCTGCATCTTCTGCACACAATCTCTCCCCAAAACTATCCTCTCCGTCAGCCTTTTCACTCTCCATTCCCAAAAAAGAACCCATCTCAAACTGGTGGAACATAAGGGCATCTCTCATCGCAATCTCTCTCCCCAACTTTCTTACAATTCATTTTGATCTACCAGTAGTCTCCACAAAAGCAGATCCCATCTCTAAAGTGGAGGAACATATTTGCGTCTCGCAACACAATTTCTCTCTCCCACCACCGCAAACAGCTTAATAGCCGCATGGCGGTCTCCATGCACTGTCAGGTTCTTCATAATCCTATTCCTGATCCAGGTCCTACATGTATAGCAGCCAAATCCACCGCTAACTTCTCTCTTTGACACCTTATTTCTGTCTGTCTTCTCCTCATCTATATTTTGCATCACAGACATAACCATCCCTCTACCTCTAATTTTCTTCCAATAAGCTCCTCGAGCTTGTCATGTATCTCTCTAGCTTAATGAACACTTCCTTTAAGCTTCTATATGGCTTTGGCCAGGCACCTCCCAAAGGCCGTTCTCTACTCTCTTCCTTTTGATTTCAGCATGGTCCCACTATTTGCAACAGAAGCACCTAGTTTACTTTATATAGAGAGCTTATATAGAGAGAGACTGATCCAACACAAACACGTGATTATGGCCTCACTGAGGGTATGCCCCTTAATAGAGCAGAATGACAGACCAGGATTCGTGTAGCAAATCCCAATTAGTTGGAAAAAAGCTTTGACGACAATGATGATGATGATAAAGAAATACTTAAGACTCAGCAGTTTACTTCCACACTATACACATTAGACATTACATAGAACATGGTGTCCTTGAGGAGCTCCATCTGTGAATCTGGTCATTCATCAGCAGGTTCTGTAGCTCAGTTGCGCCAAGTGTCTTGAAGGTTTCCCCAAACTGGTTATTAGCTTGCAAACATTAGTAGGTACCTGTTCCCCTGAGGGAGAGCTGCTGCATAGACAATTGATATTGTTATGGAATTAGTCACCACATTTATTACTTTGTGTCTGACCAAGGGCAGTCACCATGTTTGTGTAATCCATATCGCTAGGCATAAAGAGAGGAAAAAGAGCATTATTACTCCTCAGTACTTTGATCTTTCTATCCAAGATCTGTCTATCCAATTGATTCTATACTTCGAACTTGCACCAAGAAATTTTGTAAACACTATAGACTTGTCATTTTGTGAAATACATAGAACCAATATCAAGAGCAATCATAAAGTATTCACTACCCCCACTAGACTTTGGAAGCTGCCAACATGTATCAACATTCACAATTGCCAATAGTTCAGATGCACGCACACTAGTCTTCAAAGGGATTTTAGAAAACTTATCAGTAATGCAAGTGGTCACACAATGGAATGCTATCCAACACACGTCTCACTCGAAATCTTTTGTGCTAAGAGCCTTGCAGTGTCATAATTAATGTGGCCTAACGTCTTGTGTCAAACAACAAAATCCTCTACTAGATACATCTCATAGCCAACAAATTTTTCATTTAATTGATATACATTTTTTATATGGGATCCTGATGAAACAATCTCTCTGTTTTTCATCAAAACCAGCTTTCCAGCACGGAAGAGTAACTCAAAACCTGATTGTGACTCAAAACCTGATTTCTCTAGTAATGCTAGAGAAATCAGATTCCTATCGATCTGCCCTCACGGCCACCTGAGAAGAGTTGTTGTCTCCCATCCACACCACAGAACATTAGTCTCCCTGTTGGGAGTCAACAACTAGTGACTGTAGTAGAAATGTTTCTTGGCTCCTCAGTCATGTACTAGCTAGCCTTCATTTCGATGTTTAGGGATTCCATGACCACTCGAAAAAGTGAACCACTTCCCCGGCATTAGTTCTTGAAGTGACTAAGTTTCCCACAGTGTGCAACCTAACAGTCCTCTTGAAGGTGGACCATTTGCCCTTGAAGAAGCCTTTGCTCTTTGGGAGACGCGAGGCCTCCCTCTCTTATCTTTCTTGTCTTCTAGAGCCATATGAGAAGTATGGGCCTCTTCGATCAATAATGAACTGTAGAGCTCGTTAGCAATGTAGGATACATTCATGGAAGTGAGTATGAACTTGAGCTTCACTATCATATAGATAACTCCATACTAACTTTTCCAATTTCATCACTTCCCTTTTGAAGTACCTCCTCCATCTTGCAACTAATTAGACTAGATACCAACCTTAGGAGTGTTGTTCAGATTTTGAGTACTGAAGTATTGTTTAGATTTTGAGTACAAACCCTCAAACTATATTATCATCATCATCATCATTAGAACCTTTTTCCAACTATTTGGGGATCACTACACGAAGCCTGATCCACCATTTTGCTCTATCAAGGGCCATACCTTCAGTGAGGCCATAAGACCCCGTATTTTTCTCACTACTTCCAACCATGTCCTTTTGGGCCCACACTTTGCCCTTTTTGCGCCTTCTACTGGAACCAACTCATACCTCCAAACAAGTGGGTCTGCACTGCACATGGTCAGCCCACCTAAGTCTACTTTCTCTCATCTTATAGCGTAGCGGAGCCACACCTAAGTTCTCCCAAATGTATTCATTTTGAATTCTATCCCTTTTTGTCTTGCTACTCATCCAACTCAACATCATTATCTCAGCTACAATCATCCCATAGATATGTTGTTTCTTGACCGCCCAACATTCCGCCCCATAAAGCAAAGCCGGTCTTATAGTTGTCCTATAGAACTTCCCCTTCAGCTTCATTGGTGTGCGGTGGTCACACAAAACTCTTGTTGCATATCTCCACTTCGCCCACCCAGCTCTAATAATATTTTAATCTAAAATTTCTTAAGCATAAAGTAGACTCAAATAACTTTCAAATGAGTGTGGTATTGCTTACTGAAATTATTCATTGATCTAAGGTTTACCACGCCACAACTGTTTAAACTTATGAACAATGTGCAGAATTGAGATACAACTCCACTAATTTTCTATCTGCAACTTACATAGGACAGTTTTTAGTGAAGCTTTGAAAGTAGACTTGACCTTTCAATGAGCCAAAAATCGCAGAAATCCAATACTCTAATGTCTGAGAACTTATGGCTTGAAACTGCTATTTTCTGCTACCTGTAATTTTCGGCAAGTTGTAGAATACAATCCCCACCCTAGAGAGAGAAACTGGCTAGAATTGCAATGGATAATGCAGGCTGATCGTTTGGGACTTAGATCCACAAAGAGGGAGATTCACTTAACTTGTCAGGACTTAAGGTCAGTACTTGCTCTCCACCTGATGAAAAACCAAGTATAGTGAATGGAGGTTCTAGGAGTAGACCCCAAGATACAACCCTCCTAGATTTATTTATTTATTTATTTTATTTATTTTTGTGTTACAACCCTCCTAGATTAGGAGGTTCTAGGAGTAGACCCCAAATAGTGTATGGGTAAGCCTAGGCCCTAAAATTAGTCCAGTATTTATAGTTTTAAGAGGTCCCTGCATATTGCTGAATCCATAAGAGAAACAATCTCAAAATTTTTTGCATTTTCTATTGATGGAAAAGTATACAAAGAGACGATTTACTTTCAGTATAAGAAGGTCACAATCATTCTTGTCAGCCAGATTTTAAATAGGGAGGTTATAAGTGTGTCATTGACTAGACACAAAATTCATAAAAAATTTCTCAAACTTGTGACATACCCCAAGCCATCCAATTTGATATCTAATAGCTAAGAGTGATTGTGCATTCCGTGTAACCATGGCAATTGGTCTCCTAGTGTACAACGCCTTTATTGACTCATCCATGTTCACAAACATGACTCTTTGAGATCCACCAAAGATTGTTCGCTTTCTAAATACAAAGAAGTGTATGATCATTTCAAACTCCATTAAATACTTTTTAAGTATATACGTTACATAAAATAAATATTCTTTTACATATATCTAAAAATATTTCTGTGTCTGTGCAGGGCCCAAAACTAAAACTTTGGGCCCAGGCCTACCATACACCGTTTCTTGCCTGGGCTGGAATTGGGCCCGAAACTTAATTTCAGGGCCTAGACCAACCATACACTATTTTAGGAGGCTTGAGCTTCGGTTTGACACCCAAACCTGGGCCGTTGACAGCCCCAATCCCTCAATGATTGCTTGCCTTCTGAATGAAGAGTCCAGGCTTAACTGTTCATCTACTGAATATGAAAGAGTCCCGGCGTTGACTGTTCATCCTCTGAATACGAAGACCCCAGGATCGACTATTTATCTTCTTGTCCAATATTCTAAGAGGCCAAGGTCGGGTTGGAATGATGAACATCTTCCATGCTATTCTGTTTCGGGCGTGGAATCTCAAGGAGAATCTATAAGCAACCCAAAAGAATGACATTCGTTTTATTAAGGCCTTATGAACTTATTGCGTTAAGGAATGCTGCCTTAAACTGGAAAAAGGGTGTGCTTTTTTTAAGGATCTTACACCAAGGGCATGCAAGGATCTTGTTTTTAGCTAAGACCTCTCAAGGGCTTATCTAAGGCATCTCTCAGGCTGCACCTGACAGTTAAGGCCAGAGACCAACCTATCTTGGCTATAGGTGATTGCCTTTCCGTGTTCTAAGACATGAGGACTCATAGATCCTTTCCCAGCCGAGGCAAGTTATTAAGGACATTCATGTCCACCCTTAATATTGACTGATATCTATTTTATGGAGCCACTGGACTCTCTCCTGATCAGATATATCCAAACATGCAGGGACAATTCACCAGAATTCAAACAGTAAGAAAGTAGTTCTTTTACTGTCTTCACATGATGATGGAAAGAATATAGATGAGAGCAGAAGATACCAAGAAGAATACAAAGACGAAATAAGGAAAGGACAAAGATAAGAAAAGGAAAATAAAAGACTAAAAATGATGAATAAATAGTGTTGAGAGAGAGAGAGAGAGAGGAGAGAGAGAGAGGAGGAGGAGACTAAGTGTACTTAGAAGAAGAAAGTAAAGTGGTTTAGGTATATTACTAGAACTAAATGATAGAATAAGTAGTGTTGAGAGAGAGAGAGAGAGAGAGAGAGAGAGAGAGAGAGAGAGGAGGAGGAGGAGGAGTAGTAGTAGTAGTAGAAGAAGAAGTAAGTAGTTAGTAGTACTACGTAGTAGTACGTACGTACTACTACTACGTAGT